CCCCCCCCCCTCCTCTTCTTTACCAATTTGCTTCACTCTTAAAGCAGTGACTGTGTCAGAGAAGAATTTCATCAGCTGTGTTATGTTGTAAGAATAAAGTATTTTTTTCTGTCAAGAGCTTAAATAGTTTACCTCCAATAGTTCAATGTCTCATCATAACAATCATTCCCTGATGAAGATGTCCTGTTAGACAACAAAATATTTGAGGTTAACTATTTCAAAATTAAGCTGTTGATTGAAGAAAAATTACTTTATTCTTAAAGCAGTGTGTTTTAAACATGGCTCCTAACCCTAAACAATATGATTAATTGTAGTTAGAGAATAAATATAGTTAACATGTTGAATGCATTGTATTATATTTCAATCTTGTGTCATCAGGTGATCCTCTCTGTCTTGCCATACCGTGAGAAGATAATCGTGCGGCGTATGCTAAAGCAGGATATGAGGAAGATTCAAGTAGACAGTCTGCCAGCACTTGTTCACCTTGACAAAACTGGGAGCTACTCAGAACTAGCACTGTAGGTTGAAATGTTACTCTTAGTATGGTTTGAGTTATCTTGATTGCATCATTGTTACAGTTGATACTCATAGTTCACCAGATAGAGTTAAAGCAATGGTACAGAATTATAACATGTATACTAGATACTTTGAATTTATTAATACAGCTTTATGTCAACTTCACATTTGTGTTTTAATCAATACTTTCACCTGGTCCAGCCAAATTTAAGAAGATTTCAAAATCCAACACAGCCTTCAAGCATATGGGAACTGCAGCACTTGTGGTTACTATTCATTCCTGACTATTTTCTACTTATGAGAAGGAAGGTAGACCATTTATCACATCTTTTGTGTTTTGTAGAGGAGAAACAAAGAGTCTTGTATTCATCCGAGAGCTGTATAACCTAGCTGGCATAGATGAGGAAGAGGAAGAAGGGGAGGTTCAAAAGGATGATGGCAGTTTACATCTTATTGATGCTGGGTAGGTGCTCATTACAACAAAGACACACTATGAGCTTAGCCTGAAAAAGTCATAATTTTTCTCAGTGAGAAAAGAATATTTATGAGCATTTTCGAGTGGATACTAAAAATTCTATTAATTTCTTTATTTATTTTAAATTATTTATTTTTATTAATTTTTATTTTTGAGAATCGACTCACCATTCCACATTAATTTTGTAAGGAATTGCTGTGAGGCAGTGACCATTGTTATCTTGGTCAGCAGCTTCACTAAATGATTATAAGGTCAGTAACTTATGTAAACAGGTGTGCCACTTGGCCACATTTCTTGGGAAAAGATGTGTCAAGTATTTATTATGTGTCATACTATTATTGACTCCTAGATGATTTTTATCGTTTTTGTTTGTAGATTGAGAGTATATATGCAAGATTTGGAGTCCACCCTTCACTACTCATTTAGAAAAGAGATATGCAACTTTAAAGTGGTGAAAGGTGAAGATCTGGTAGCATTGAAGTCATATGTCAGTGTTTTGTCCAAGGTATATATCACTTCTGTGACATACAGCACATGGTGTGTGCTATTATTAATTATAAAGAAGTAACTTTCCATTGCAAAGATCATTTTATTATGCTTTGCAGAGGAACCAAATGCAGTTCTTTTTATTGATGTACTAGTATATTTCTTCTCCTGTTTGTAGTGATTTTGACTTTTTTTAAATTTTTTTCTTATTTATTTATTTTTTTTTTGTGTGTGTGTGTGTGTGTGTGAATGAAAATAAAACTTGATACACATTTATATGTGGACTGTTAGGATACATGACAAGGTCTCTGTGGTAATGGGACAATGCAAAACACTTGAAAAGTGTAATTAGAAACCTACAATCTTGCATTTGCTGCATCTTTAAGAATTCATCACATATCATCTTGTAGAGATACAGTAACTGCACATGTCTGTGAAAATCTTTCTGTTCTCAAAAGAAGCTATTTGTAAAAGAAGTCCAACCATCTGGCATATCCAGTTAACCAGGCAGAGAGCCTTCCATTATCGATTTAATATAAGTCTAATCTCATAGTTTACATTATAGGATGTCATTCAAGAGAAGTTAATATTAAGCAACATTTTATTGGCCTTTGTTCATCTATTTCAGTATTTCCCTGGACAGCCCCATGTGGTCAAGTACCTGTGGTCACTTAATAAGTGGATGCAGAGTGTCAGTGGACAGGTCACTGACAAAGAGTGGGAAGCTAAGGTTAAGGAACTTAAGGTAGGGGACCAAATACATATACTGTAGCATGCAAAACAAGGGTTAAACCATTAAGAGCCATGATTGGGAAGAACTTGTTATTTCTTTGTAATAGAAGGCTAAGGGACCATGTGTTTTTGTAGTGATTTTCATTAAATTATCTTCTTACTTTCTTTTAAGACAGATAGTGCTTGTGGTAAAGGATAAGGCTATCAAGTAATATTATATAAAGAAACCTAATGGTTCAGAAAAAGGAGGTCTCTTAAATAGTTATACATTTATTGAGTATTTTTACATTATAAAATTGAGTGGGTGATTACCAGAAAATGTATATTATTTTGAGAACCACGGGTTTTAGAATACCAAAATTCGTTAAAAACTCAAGCAATCATTTAATTTTTAAAAATTAACAATTTTGAAAACTAAATATCATAAACAGTGAATGCAACTCATGAATTTAGAAATGAGATAATTATAGTAATTTTATGTACAAAAAAATCCATTTCTGTTCTAGACTAAGGATGCTTACCTGCCAGAAGTAACCAAGTGGGTGGCCTGCCAGGGGAGTGCAGAGAAGTACAGGGGCTATCCTTGTGGACTCTGGACCCTGTTTCATGTGTTATCAGTACAGGCTGTGGATGTCAACCTAGACAGTAAGTGCTCTTTTCCATTGCATTATTCTGTCAGTAAAACCCCCTCTTCACTGGATGGCTTTGCTTTTTGGATCCTTAGTTCGACCATGAACCTGCCATGGCTGTGGTCGCAGAGAGGAGGCACAAGTGTCACTTTGGTTGCAGATTGAATGCTCTGTGATTGGCCAATTGTCGGAACGTAAAATATTTTTTTTACTCTCTAATTGGCCGTACGGCAGGACACAGAAAGGACACTGTTCAGCGTAAAGGGGGCTTAACTAGTGATTCAGTAATCTGAGTAGACCCTCTCTGCACAGCCATTTTTCAACTTACTAACTCTTAGTTGTTATGATTAAAGAAGCTTTAAAAGTATTTGCAGAAATTAAGTTGATGTCTTACACCCAGCATTATATTTTTACAGACCCTTTTCTGCACAGGTGCACCTTAACTGATATCAATTTAGATTAAGATTTTACATATCCATTATGAAGTTTGGGTTCCTTTCTCTTTAAAATTTATATCTGGACTCCTTTTGTAACAAATATATATACATAGTTTTAATAACTGGGAATATTACCAAGATTTTATTAATCAGCAGCACAGTGAAGTCTGGTGGGATTTATCTTTATTATGTAATATGCTGCTAAGTTAGACATGCTGCATGCTGACAGAGTCATGACAATTCAGGTGTCATCTGTTTGTAAGCGCTTTTCTCCTAGTGGTGGCAAGCTTAAGTCCAGTGTAACAGGGGCTTTAAGATATAGGATATAGAGTCCATCATCACCATACTTTATCTATATAATTTTATCATATCTTAATTATACACATAATATTTCAGTTTTAGAATTATATTTCACAAGCATTTTTTTTTTTAATTCTAGGGAAGTAAATGTAGATAATTCCCATATAATGCTTAGCAGAGGGCGGCATCGTCACCATTGTCACAATCTTAGTCGTCTTTTGTAACACATATCTGATGCTTCCACCACTTTTATAATGGTAAAAAAACGCAATAACAGAAAATATTCAGGTGTGCTGTGTACCCCATTATTACTTGGACAAGATTCATTTACTTTAACACCACCTGCTCTTCATTATAAGGTAATTATTTTACATAACACTTCATGTCACTGTAGGCAACAGTGTAACACAATGGACTTTTAATAAGAATCCATTTAGAATGGTTTTTATGGAAGTTGAACTCGTTAAAGGTGCTTCCTATGGGAAAATGGATCTAGCCATCTCCATGTGATGTTAAATGAGCCCCAGGTACCTGAATTCACTACAGCTTATCTTTATTCTCTGGCAGGATGCTGTGTAAGCCAAATGCAGAATGTCAAATTAAAACATTTAACGGGTCTTCTTTTGTTACAGGTAGTCAGATCATCTTGCACGTTTGGCATAACCTTTAAATGCTAGTATGAGACAAATTAGGGCATGTAGGTGGAGACAAATTGTGTGGTAATTTGAAAAATTAAATAAATGGCAGTCGTATAATTGCTTGTCGTGGCAGAAAATATTTTAAGGTTCTTTTATCTCAACACATTGAGTGTTTTTGAACAGAAACCTCTTGTAAGGTTGTTATTGAATTTACTTTTTTGAAAGGCAAACCACAGTGCTCATGCCCGTAAATAAACCATCGTTAGAGAATATGGAAGATATTTGATTTTCTGACTTTGTACCATTGACAAATCTGTAGTCAGTAGTTGTGTTAGTAGCCTGTGAAAGCTGCTGCCATTGTTTTTTTTTAGCACTTCTTGTGAAATAAGTGATATGTGTACTTCTAGATAACTTGCATCAGCACTTGTGAGTGATCAGGCTGATAAGATAATCAGGATATTTGTGATTCTTTTGTCAAATTACACCCAAGTACAGAAATTTGACTGGAAATTGTGTGAGCTGTGATTCTTTCATAATCAAGTACGTATGTTATAAAAGAGCAAGCTTAAATCTACAACCCCTCGACCTGCTGCAGGTAAAATTATGTAAAACCAGTTCTTACCCCAGGCAACTTTAAGTTAATATATTATACCTAAAATAGTCAAATTTCAAAGCGTCAGAAGTCAAGAATAGAGTCAGACCCCCC